GGACTTTAGAAAGACTAAATAATCTCTCTCTTCTAAATAGCTATGGTCTTTAAATGGGCCTAGATTCCAGGTGATCCTTTCAAAAGACTCCAATCCTTGTAAGAGTTACTCTGTGTTTTCTAGAGGGAACTAAAGCGTAGCCACATCATAGAGAAGGGCTCAGGAAGTTCAAAGATGGGAGTGAGTGGATGAGCTGTGTAACTTACTGAGAGCAAGAAGGGGCTGGAGGAGCAGGGGGTGGGCAAAAAGGGAAGACAGAGGCCCAGAAAAGGGATTGGGTTCACAGCCAGGTGCAGTGGTGCACACCTGTAACCCCAGCACCCCAGAGGGAGAAGCAGGGGATTACACGTTTGAGCCCAGCCTGGGCAACTTAGTGACTTAGTAAGACTCTGTCTCCAAAGACAAAAACAGAGCAAACTTTAAAAATGGGGGGGCGGGGCCTGGGGATGTAGCTCAGCGGCACAGCGCCTGCCTGGCAAGCGTGAGGTTGTCAGTTTGATTCCCGGTACAAATAAAAGGAGTTGGGGCTGGGGATTTAGCTCAGCGGCAAAGCGCCTGCCTGGCAAGCGCAAGGTCGAGAGTTCAGTTCCCGGTACCGGAGAAAAAACCAAAAAAAAAAAAACAAATAAAAGGAGAGGTGGTGTAGCTCAGTGTGAAGACTGTGGGTTCAATCCCCAGTCCACGAAAAAAAGATTGGGTTTACCCACTTGAGGTTATTTTTTAGGTTGTTTTTGTAGCCTGGCTGGTGGCTTGGTGACCCCCCCGTGCAACCCTCCTGCTTTATAGAGGAGACATTGGAGGGTCAGAGGGGAGCAACAGCTTGCCCAGGGTCACCCAGCAGGGGCGCAGCACAGTCTTAAGCCTCCATGGTTCTAAATTCTCTTGTACCAGTCAGTCACCTTTCCCTCTGCAGCCTGCACATACCCCAAGGAGACCAGCAAAGCTGATGACTTAAGCCAGCAGGCTTCTGGACTGCTTGCTCTTAACTTGCCCTCCACTGTGCGGCAGGTGGTTGTCTCCGCAGCGGAGGCAGAGCCTGAAGCCCAGAGACTCTCTGGGCAAGAGGCCCTCCCAGGCCTGCAGGACTGCCCTAAGTGGCAGTCAGCTGGAGCCTCAGGAGTCTGGGAGGTCCTCGTGCAGTCCCTCCCTTCCCCAGCTCCGTCCCATCAAGCAGAAGGAGCAAGCTGGCCACCTCCCAGATCCCCATGAGCCAGACACGGATGGCCCCGTCTGCCCACTGGGCACTGCCTGGACGTCAGGGAGGAAGGACAGCAAGGTCTCAGCTGATCCTCTCTTGGGCAGAGCGTATGGCCACTAGGGATGGCTTCTGACCCCTCAGGTCTTCAGAGGAGGTTCTAGAGACCTGTAGAAGTCCCCAGGAGGCTTTGGGCTCAGCCCTGGTCCGCCCTGGGCAGAAGTGTCGTTCCCGTTGGTCTGTTTGCCCTGTCCTCAACTCAACCGGATCCACTTCCACCAGAACTCAGAGAGGACCCACGTGACCAAGGTAGCCTGGTCTCTGCCCAAACCTTCTCTTCCCTGGGAAAACGCTCCCGACACCTGGGCTTCTCCCAGGACTGTGTCCTTCCTCCTCCTCGGGGCCAGGTGGGGCCTGCCCAGGACAGCGAAGGCTGCCCTTCTCCAAACACTTGGGAAAAGTGACCAACACACAGATGGAGACACCTGACAGGTCCCCCCGGTCCCAAGCAAGGAAGGACACCAAGACTAGGGAGAGTTTTAGTAAGAACAGGCTGATCCGGAGACCCTTCCCTTATCAAGTCGGGGTGCCGGTTAGGGTTAGCTGCTGGCGTAGCTCCCTCCTCTGCTTCTTCCTCTCCCTCTGCCCTCTGACTACTTTATTACTTCTCTGCTTTTCTGGGATCCCCACCCCCAGCACCATCACTACTTCCAGTATCCATCCCCAGTGAGCCTGGGGAAACCACCTTCCCTCCTATGCAGTGCCGTTTCTGTCCCACCCCCAATACGCCACTGAGACTCCTACTGTTAAACCGGGCTTGTCCTCCAGAGGGGGGCAGGTTTGTGTCAGGGAGGGCTGAAACCTCCCATAACCTGTGTGACTAAAGATGTTGCTGGCAGTGGGTTTGGTCTGAGCTGTCAAGTGGTACAAAGTGCAAAGGTCAAGTATGCACGCTCTCCGGGGAATCTTCCCTGGGAATTCTCAATCTATTGGGGTGGGCGGTGGGTACCAGGTCACCGGAGCTCAGGGCAGAGGCTCAAGGTGGCCAATGGTACCACAAAACCGCAGCCACTTGAGGGACACGCCTTCCATAGGTGAGGGACACAGAGAGGTTTCAGGGCCCACAAGGTGGAAAATGTACCTTGGAATCGACAAGCCACAGGGGTTGGACTGTCCTGGCAAGATATTAGAGGGGCAGAGTTGGAGGTGGCTGTGGGGCCCAGGGTTTCTACAGGGATGGGGTCTGGGTGACTTATTTTTCTCCCATCCATGCCCAGGACCCAACTAGATGACGTGATCTATAGTAAAAGGGATTTAAGTGCAATGTAAGGAAAAACCTGCCTGCTGGGATGGGGCAGGCGGGCGAGGGCCGGGGTGCGGGGGCTACCCACGTGACCAAGTAGTTGTGGATTCTGCCTCTGAGGAAAAGTGGAAAATTATTTATTAGATGCTCATCAGTCTGGCTAAGACATGGGACATCCAAGTGTGTGTATAGAGTCCAAGTTCAGCAAGGAGGGTGGGTGGGACGGAGGTGGGGCACGATGCCTACTCGGCCCCCTTTGTCTTCCACGTACCTCCTACCTTGGTCATTAGGAAGGGAGCCTGAGAAGGAGTCCCCCTTTTGAAGGGAGGTGGGGGAGGCCCCAGGAATCCGGGGCCTGTCCTGCTGCCAGGCACGTGGCCTCAGCCTCACTGAAGGAACGAACGCCCGAGGCAGGTTCAGCCTGCGCTTCTCCTTCCCTCCAGGTCCCGGTGGCCGCAGCCCAGGGAGTTGCTTCCTCCCGACCAATAGGGTGGGCGGCAGCATTAACCCACGCCTGAAGGAAGCGGGAGAGAAACTCCTTAGCCTCCTGGAACAGTGTAGGAGTCTGGGACAAGCACTGCTCGGGCTTTTCCTGGGCTCAGCTCCACATTCCCTGCCTGTGGTCTTAAGGCCTAAGGTAAGTTTCCCAATCTGCGTGTGCGCACGCATGTGTACACAAGCACTGGTGACGCAGGACAGTGAGCTGGGGGACAGTACAATGGGGTCCTCCGTCCTCAGCCCCTGCCCAGCCCTGGGGCTTTGCGGGTTTGTGGGACAGCCTGGCTTGGCGGTGGGGCGGCCCTCCGTGCCTCCCCAGCCCCAGAGGAAATGACTGACAAGTACCGGCTGTGTCTTCAAGGCCAGGAGGAAGCGGCGCAGGGAGGAGTAGGGTGCGTGCCCAAGCTTGACTCTGGGAGCCGAGCTGCTCACCACATGGAGCTGGGGAGGTGGCCTGGCTGCTGGCCCTCAGAACTCTGGGATGCCCCATGGACCACCAGTGGGGGCCGGGTTCCGGGCAACGCGTTCCGGATGGATTTCCCTGGAGCCCCTGGACCGTGGGCAGCAGCATCTCCCAAGCGTGTTGGCCCAGTTGCCCAGCACCGGGCCTCCTCCCCCCGCAGCCGGGGCCCCTGGATGGCTGGGTGCCCAGGGCAGCACAGCATTTGTGCCTGGCTCCCTGGCAGCAGGGGCTGGCGTGATGCTCTGCCAGCCTCCTTGGGCCCGGGTGCCCTCACCTTGAGCTGGGACTTGGAGACCTTGCCGCTTTTCTCCACATCCAGCGCGGTGAAGGCGTACCAGATAGACTTGAGCAGCTCCTTGCGCAGGGCCATGGCTGAGGCGCCTGCCCGCCCGGCCCGGCCCAGGGGCGGCTCTGACACCGAGATCCGGTTTCAGGAAATGCAAACGGCTGCAGACCACAGAGGCGCCCCACCGCGGAGCAAGAGCTCCACCTGCCTGCTTGCTCGTTGCTCTGGTGGTACTCTGGCCCTGCTCCCTGCCGGGAACCAGACTGACCTTCTCGGGGCTACTAGCTCTCTGAATCAGCCTGATCTGCTGGGCTGGCGTGCGTGTGAGGCCCTTTTAAAAGCCTCTTTGCCCCAGAGCCTTCCTGATGCTCCCAGAGGCAGCTCGCTCAGGGAAAAAGAAAGCCCACTCTGACTGCACTCAGACTGGAAGTCGGCTTACCAGGTTAAAGGCCTTGGATAAGTTACTTAACCTTCTAGAGCAGTTTCCTCTGTGTAATTTAGTAAAACACCAACCTCCCACAGTTGGAAGGCTGAAAAGGGTACATAATGGGTTCTGGATAAAGCATCCCTTTCAGTGGCACCTCACGTAACCGTGGTGGTAGACGCTACCAAAAAGGGGAAGGAAGAAAAGTAAACCCCACAAAGCTGAGGAGGAACTGGGCCGGGGCACCTCTCTATGTGCCACAGACTTGGCATCTGACTTGCTGGCTACCTAATCCCTGGCAACGGCTCCAAAAGGCACTCAGAGCTCTGCCCACTGTATCTGAAGCCTGGCGTGGGGCCCCACCTTGGGGAGTCCTGGCGGGGCAGTCTTGGGATTCAAGACACTGAACATCAGTGCTGCCATTTCTTCAGGTCCAGTGCCCATGGGGGTGGCACACACCCACACCACGCATGTGGAAGGAGCCTGCAGGCCAAAATGGGGACAGCCTCTTCTGGGGTATATCCCAACTCCTCTGCCTCCAGGGTAGGAGCTTTCTGGGCATCCATTCGGGGACGGGAGCTCCATTCTCAGTAGGAAGGGGACTGAGGGAAGCACATCACAGTGGAGAGAAGAGGCGATGCACCTCCAGTTCCCACAGTGCTCTATCCAGGTGGGGTCCTTTCCAGCAGTATCCCCTGCACCTTCTGCAGGGGCTGGCCTACCACTGGGGGCCTGACGATGGCTTAGGAATCCCGCAGCACAGCAGCCCTAGTAGGACCAAGGTAGCGGAGCCAGCACTTCAGCACCAGAGCAGCATAGTATCAGGGAACCTCAGTAACCAGGACAAAGGTGCCTCTCAGCCTGTTCTGACCCAGGCTCTGCCCTCTTGGAGCAGCTGATTGTGTGTGGTCAAGGGTGGCCGGGGCAGGAGGGGCTCGGGCTACATTCTGCAAAGATAAAGCAGAAAAAAACCACAGTTCTTCCAGCGCACCCACCCTGAGGCCTGGGACTCAGCCAGAGCCTGCAAGTAGTGGTTATGCTGGTCCTAGCTGGCTGCCCTAGAGCCCCCTGCTGAGGGGCGGCAGGAAGCCCCGGGCAGCTCCTCAGGCAGCTCCTTATCTTACCGCGGGCCTTCCTCCCACCCGCATAGCCTACTGGTCAGGCATCGAAGCTGTGCGAGGGCTGCGGCAGCGCAACAGGGGTGAGAGCTGGCCTCGCCCAGCCCTGCGACCAGGCCCCCGAGCTGGAAGGATGGAGAAACCCAGGTGGAAACTTGGAACTTTTATTAAATACTCATTCACCCAGTTGCCACCACCGCCCAGAGCAGGAAAAAAAAAATAATTGTCAAAGTGGAATTTAAAAAAAAATACCACAAAACAAATGAAACCCAGTCCCAGCGGTCTGTGTACGGGGCAACTCCCTGCCTCTCTGCCATAGAGATTAGGGGGCAGCGGGGGTGGGGGTGGGGTGGGAGCTGGGCACCTATACTCCAGCCACAGGCCCCTGAGCAATTAATTCTGACTGTGGTGGCAGGAAGCCCAGTGCCAAGGGACCAGGCTCCTCAGCTGGCCTCCGGGGAGGAGGTTATTGCTGGGAGGGGCAGAGCGGCCTGCCTCTGCCCCTGTGTGCTGAGACCAGTTCGGGTGGAGGCTGGTCCCCACCACAGCCTCACTTTCCACCTGAGAAGAGGAGTGGACTAAAACAAGGGAGTGTCCTCCTCAGGGAGGACAGCGGGCACCCAGGGCAGCCTGGCGCCAGGCTTGTTCACTCCTCGGCTCCTGCTGCCTGCTTCGGGGCCCTTCTCGCGGGCAGGGCCTCCAAGCTCTTCAGCTGGGCCGCTTTCTGGCTGCTTGTCCACCCTAGAGACCTATGCGGCCGCCTTCCACGTGTCAGCCACAGGCTGGGCCCTCGAGGCAGGGCCGCCCGCACGGGTGGCACATCCCCCAGCTCGGTGTGTGCGCCTGCCCTCTTGCCTCAGCAGCCGCTCTCCGTCACCGCTGTGTCCAGGGTCACAGCCCCTCGCTGCATGGCAGCGGTGGCCGCACTGAGGGCCTCCTCCAAGGTCTGCTGCTCCTCCAGCTGCAGAGAGGGTGTGGAAGGAAGCGGGGTGTGAGATGCTCCCTCCCAGACTCCAGCTTGTCCACACTTCCTCCGCCTAAGGGCCACGAACTAAGCTCTCGGTGGGGGCCCCAGAAGCAGGAAGCTCACAGATAGTCCTAGTAGGTGAGGCACAGCCAGGGACCACGGACAGCCTGTGGTCAGAGAACAGCTTGCTCCCAGAAAAATAACTGGCTGGACAGGACCTCAGTGATCACTGACTTTAGCTGCTTCATCTCCCAGGTGAAAGACGGGAAGAGACGAAGGGCTTGGACCGTAAGTGGGCTGCCATCAGTTATCCTGAAGGCTGGAGGCGTTTCCCCATTCTGCCTCAGGTGTGTAGATACGGGCAGAATGGGATTTGTCCTTGAAATGGGCTCTTTCTGAACGCCCGATGCCCTTCTCTTCAAGAGCACCCTCCAATTCCCTCACCCCCCCCTCCTCCCAGATTTCTACCCACCTGCACTGCAATGTGGGTTCCGTTGGCTGTGGCCAACAGTGCCACCTGTTGATGGTGAAGGGACGCTACACGCGTGTCCTCGGCCACCACAGCCCCGGAGGTAATGATGGTGACCTGAAACACAGAAGATCTTCCACGCTCTGCAATACCCTCCCCTCTCCTCAGGCCGGGTCAGAGCCCTCTGTGCCAGATGACCGGAAGCAACCCGGCAGGAGCGCATAAAACCACTGTGGGTCAGATGAATTAGCCCGGGGCTCACAGCTAAATGAAACTGAGTTTTCCCCCAACTTACAGCCCAATGGAATGCAGGGATTCTGAATCACCGAAGGACAGAGCTATAAAACAGCCCAGAGATAAGTCAATCCCCTGCGCTGAAAATGGACCTTGAAGTCCATGGAAAAGTGACTTGCCCAGGATGGAGAGGCTAAGTAGGGGTGGACCGGGATTTAGAAATGGTCTCTTGATTCATCAAGTGCTTTTTTTTTTGGTTTTTTTTTTCCCGGTACCGGGAACTGAACTCATAACCTTGCACTTGCCAGGCAGGCGCTGTGCCGCTGAGCTACATCCCCAGCCCCATCAAATGCTGTTAAAGATGAAAGCTGCTCATGGCCCAGGGAAGCTAGGGGAATCTTTGTCCTTGTAAAAGGCTTGACAAGTGTGGCCTGAACTTTTAACACCCACCCCATGGAAAAGGGCAGCAAGAGAACAAGAAACCCCAAGCAAACTGCCTGGTCATACGGGCTGCGTCTGCGTGCCATCAGCGCTGACCATGGTGACCGTATGTGTGCTGGATGTGGCCAAGTCAGCGTCATGACTGGGGATGGCGAGGGTGGTGCTGCCATGCTGGGTCACCACGCTGATGGCACTTCCCAGGGCCTGCAGGTCTTCTGGGGACAGGCTGACCTGCCACAGGAGGAGGAGAGAAGACGGGCTGGAGCCCAGAGGAGGGCTGTCTGGAGGAGAGTGCATCTGTTCTCCCAGACGAGCTTAGCTTCAGCTCAGGCGGGTGGGGGACAGGCAAACAAAACAGGGCCAAGGCTGCAGAGAGGGTCACTAGAAGAATTCTGCGGGCCACTTCTATTTTTGTTTTTTTGTCAGTATTGGGAAAAGAATCCGGGGTCTTGCACTAACCTACATCCTCAGCCTTTTTCATGTAGAGACATGGTCATGTTAAGTCACTAAGTTGTCCACACTGGCCTCAAACTTGTGATCCTCCTGCCTCAGCCTCTCAGAGTGCTGGAATTACATGTACCACCGTGCCTGGCTTGACCACATCTATTCACTGCCACTTTGGCTCTGGGCCCTGCTGTGTACAGCTCAGGGTCTCCCCTGCATTTTGTATTCCTGACAACCCTAGAAACACAGGTGAGGACAAGGCTGGCTAGCAGCACTAGAGGGGCTGCCAGACCTTGAGACTTCTGTCCCGACAGGTCTCTCCTAAGAAGACAGCCGCGTGGCCTTCAGACAGTGAGGGCCTGGCAGCCTCCGAGAGGTAAACCACTGACTGTGCCCCAGAGGGTGAGACAGAACTGCAGGCCGGAGGAGGAGCAGGGCTGGGTTACAAGACCTGGTCCCCTCAGCCTCACTCTCTGAGGTCCATAAAGGTGTAACAGGAGGCTGGGGGAGACGGGGCTGGCCAGGTCTCAGGGCTCCCCAGAGTGCCCTGAGAGACGAGTGGTCCCTGGGGCCTGTACCTGCTGGGCACCATCCTGAGTGATCAGAGCCACCTGGGGGGCTCCATCCTCCTCGGTCACCGTGGCCCCCTGGGCCGAGACGTCGTCACCTTCCTCCTTCACCTCGGAAAGGTAAGCGATATGGACTCCTTTGGGTGGCGGGCTTTCCTCAGCTGCAGAGGCGGCTAGGAGAGGACAGCCCAGGCTACCAAATGCCACCGGATGCCACAGAAGGTCTCTGTTCCCCTGGGCCCCCCTCCCCTGCCCCTGCCCTCACCCTCCAGCTGCTGCTGCTCATACAGGGCCTGCTCGCTCTCCTCGGTGGCCTCCAGCTCGCCGTGGGCACTGCGCTTGTGCATGGCCAGGGTGGACGTCTGCCGGTAGGTCTTGCCACAGCTGCTGCAGGTGTAGGGCTTGCAGTGCGTGTGCACCACATGGTGCTTGTACAGGCTTGAGTACTCAGTGAAGCGCTTCCCGCAGCCCGGCACCGTGCAAACGTATGGCTTCTCCCCTGGGGACACTGGGCTGTGAGGGGGCGGGAACTGGGGCTGGCAAGGGGGAAACTAAGGGGACAGCGGTGAGAGACAGGGTTGGCGAAGGGCAAGCCGGAGGGAGGGAGGGGGCCGGGACCTGAGGCTCTGCAGGGGCAGAGGCGGGGAAGGTGGGCAGTGGGAGACAGGGCAGACATGGGCACGGGGCCTCCGAGGCAGAGACCCGGGGGTGAGAGAAGAGGGTGGACAAGGCGGGGGCGAGAGAAGGGTTATGAGCACACTGGGGGCTTGTAAGGCTGCAGTGGGCGGGTCGGAGTGGCGGACAGGGGAGGGAGGAGGCCGGGACAGAGACTGAAGTGTTAGGTGCAATGGGGCCGGGTGCGGCACACATGGCTAAGAGAGGACACAGAAGGCTGGATGAGGGACGTGACACGGGAGGGTGAGGACACAGAGGGGTCATATGCACAGTGGATGAGGTGCGGAGTTGAAGGTGATGCTTCACTCTGCTTCCTCCCCACCACTCCTCACCCTGGCCTCTTCAGAGCTCAGTCAGAAGGGAAGGGAGACCCGGGAGGTGCAGAGGGCTGCCTGGGACCCGAGCGGTCCCACAGAAGGCCAGCAATTCCTGCCATCTTGGACCTAACCGGGAGCGGAAGAGCCGCTCTGTGCTCATTGCAAGTGAAATGGTGTGGGGGGGGGGATATCTGCGCCGGGAGAACAGCTCCAGCTGAGAGCTGGGATGCATCCCAGAGCAGAGGCCTTGGCAGGGGGAAGTGGGCCTGAGAGGGTCCTCGCATGCCAGCTGGCCCACCTGTGTGGATGCGCACGTGATTCTTGTAGTTGGTGGCGCTGGTGAAGCCACGGCCACAGTGGGGCTCAGGGCAGGTGTAGGGCCGCTCGCCTGTGTGGGTGCGCACGTGTACCTTGCGGATGTTAGACGTGGTGAAGGAGCGGCCACAGCCCTCGAAAGGGCACCGGAACGGGCGTTCACCTGTATGGGCCAGGCAGCCATGGAGCAAGGCGGGGACCTCACGGACTCCAGGGCTGAGTACCCTTCCCCAGGGAGCGGGTAGGCAGGTCCCAGCCTACCAGTGTGGGTCCGGACATGCTTCTGCAGGTCTCCTGAGGTCTTAAAGGCCTTGTTGCACAGCTCCTCGGGGCACTTGTATGGCTTCTCACCCGTATGTGTACGAACGTGGCTCTTCAGCCCGTAGCCTGTCCATGTGCGAAAGGGGGTGGAAGAGCAGCCAGTGGGACCTCGCCTCTGCTACCCACTGTCTATACAGGCTCTCCATCTACACTGTGTTCTGGGGGCTGCAGAAGCCACGCTGGCCTCTATCCCACTCTGCCTGGTGAGTAAGAGAGGGCAGAAATGCCCACTCTACTCTCCCACCCGTTCCAGAGCGGAGGTCCAAGAGGCAGGGGTCCAAGAGGCTGCCTAGGACATCTGTGGCTAACGTCCTGCTTCAGAGGGGACGGTGAAGCCCAGAGACAACATGGTCCCCTCAGCTGACACGACAGGCCACGTCTCCATGCTGCCTTTCACATCTGCAAGTCCGAACACTCTCGCAACAGTTTCCTGGGCAGCAGCCTGTGTGGGGTTCCCCTCAAGGAAGCTCCGGAGCTCATCGAGAATTCTCTGCCCTCAACCAGAAGTTGAGGTCCACCTTCAGTCCCCAGCCAGGGGTTTACCTGTGGCAAAGGCCTTTCCGCAGCTGGGGAAGTCACACCGGTATGGACGGTCACCAGTATGAGCTCGCTCATGCACCTGAGGACAAGCAATCGTGTGACTCAGAAGGGCAGGGATTGAGGTGGGCTCTCTCTCTGTACCCTTCCTCCGGCGCTGTTCACATGTGTCACAGCTTCTTGCATGGACACTTGTCTCTTTCCTCCAGCAGCTAACGTGCAACTCAAGGGCAGGGATCAGTCCCAGAGAGAGAAAGAGGACAGTGGCCTGGCAGGGAAGAGGGCAGAACTGAAACCTGCCTGCCAGCCACTTACCTTTAAGTGATGTGCAGTGGTGTAGAGGCGCCCACAGCCCTTGTAGCCACAGCGAAAAGCTCTGTCTCCAACCTGCTGCCCTTTGCCATTGTGGGGAGCCTGGCTGTTGTGCAGAACCTGAGGAAAAATCTTGGAGTCCCTACATGTATTCTTCCCACTGGGGGGAGACAAGGCATAGGACACAGGGCCCAGTGGCAGCCCAAGCCCCAGTATGCCAGGTTAGACTGTTAGGGTGCTCTGGGGCAGAGGGACATAGCCAGACAGGCAGGGAACAGACATTCAGGCATGATGCAGAAGAAACAGGGCTGGCATGTGGAGGCACCACCAACCTCTGATGGGAAGAGGAAGACTAAACGTCATGGGGGCTGTGACAGCTACTGTGGTGTGGAGGACCACCTGGGTGACTCTCCTTGAGGGAGGAGCAATTGCCTCCACTGTGGCTGAGCCTGACCCTGTTTCCATGTGTGGATATGTACAGAGCTGGCTAGGACTTTTCCTTATCCCTTCAGTTGGCTTTAAGCAATGCATATCGGTCCAGCCGAGGTGCTGGTGGTAGTCTTTGAAGATGGCAGGTGTGTTTCCCCGGACCCCTGTTGTTCCCATGAGTGAGGCAGGATGAGGCGGGATGTGTGAGCCAATGCTCCACACTGTCGGTTGGGATCCAGCCTCCGAAATAGAGGCTGTGACTTCCTGGGGCTTGAAAGATTACACATCGGAGCTGAAGCACCCACCCCAAAACATTAGATACTATCTCAGTTGTGTTATGCAGATTACTCTTCCTGCAGATCCTTCTCTCTGCGTTTGCAGAGGTGATTTCAGGCCTCTTACCTACCCAGCTCATGGCACTCACCTGCTTCCCATGGTTCTCACAGTCACTCATCCTCAAGCCACTCCCTTCCTCATGAATGAATAAAACCTGGGTTCAGGCTTGGGTGGAGGCCTTTGTTCCAGATAGCCATCATCATGGCTGCACTTAGGACCCCTTGGCTAGGACCCTATAACTATAAATACGCCTTAGTGTCTTTATTCTTGACATGGGCTGCACTGGAAGTGGCAGGTTGGAATTAACTCGCTCGAATTCCACTAACTTTTCATGGGATTACAGACACAAACCTCCTGGGCCGTGACAAGGACTGGCAAGGGCTCTCTATACTGTGGAAAGGTTATTTCCTAGACAGCTGGGTGACGTCTGGGTGGCCACCCCCGAGCAAGGCTGGTGCCAGCCCCTTTCCCACACGCCCCTAGGAGGCTGCCACTCTTGACACATCAGTCCTCCGATAGGGTGAGGGAGCCTCCCCTGGCGGAAGGCTCATCAGGAGCATGCGCAAGGGGCTTGCTATGGGGTGAGCTCGCCAAGGCTCACCTGGCAGGACAAGGGCCCGGGGGTGGCAGCTCTAATCAGACGTGCGAGGATCAGGGACAGAAATCTCAGCTCTAACCATGGAGTGCAGGTAATGACAAAGCTTCTTGCCCCATCTCTTGTCCTGGGGACATGACTAGAGCTACCCATCTGACACAGCCTCTGGCCACAGGGCCACCAGCCCCTGGCCACAGCAGCCTTACTGTGTTTCTATTTTTCTAGGTCCCACCCTGGCAGGACTGTCCCTTAGTCCCCCTTTCTGGGATACTGAGGGTGATATGCTGGTGTTTCCAGGAGTTCCTGAAACAGAACTCAGAAGTCAAGATGAGCAGAGGACAGGGTGAGGCCCTCTCATGTTGAGGAACAAGCTGAGGCCTGGAGGGGAGTGAACGATTCTCCCAATGTTGGACTCCGCAGTGATGCAGCCAGCACAGATCTCAGGGCTCATGAATGAAATAAAGCCCAGTTCCCTGCTGACAGCAGCTGGTCTCACATTTGAATACACCTTGGGGAACGGGGGCAGGAGTAGGCATGGTCCAGAATGGGCTGCTGTCAAGTTTTGTGCTTCGTTTTGAAGCGACATGAAGACTTCCTGTCTTCCTCTACCACACGGTCACTCTCGTTTTATGAAAACAGCTCCCCCTGCCCCCAGTCTTTGGGTACACATGGTGCTTCAGGAAGCTCTGCTGCATCCCCCAGGCTCTGGGTCCAACCCACGAGGGAACACTGGATTTGGGAAGCCCATAGATCTCTGTTCCTGCTCCCTCCAAAGGCAGGGCCACAGGTCCAGCAAGCACGCACAATGACTGACGTCTGGACAGCCAGGACCGTCCTCTGCAGCCGAGTTCCTGTGTGTGCCTCGGCTCCCAAGCGTCCCAGCTGCTCTGCTGCCTATGCCCTGCTTACTGCCTACCGAGCTTATTTTCCCACATGACTCAGTGAGTTACAAAGGAGAAATCAATACGAGAGCTTCTGACTTTGGCAGATGGGAAAACTCATCAAAGGCCCTGGCTGGGGCTTTCCCACATAGCACAGCAGAGTACTGCAGCAGCCAAAGGGCAGCCGGGCCCAACTTCCCACCACACGATGCCGCAGCTTTGCGCAGCAGCCTTCCCTCTGCAGAGGCAGCGTAAACAAGGATGAACGCACACAGCTGTCAGCAGCGGCAGCCAGGCCGTGCGGCACATGCTGGACAAGGATGAGAGAGATGAACTAGTGGGATGGAGGGAGTGGCCCAGCTAGTGCCCAAACACGGGGCTGCCCCTGTCCTCTTGAGAGAGGCCGCTCTGGCAGGGCCGAGAGGTAGTGGGCAGGTGAGGCCCTGCTGTCCGGAGCTCTGCGTGCTCACCTTGCTTGCATACTGCTCCAAGGCCACCACCGTGTCTGCACCGAAGCCCTCCTCGTCTTCCGCTGCCAGGTCCTCCAAGCCCACCTCTGTCTGCACAGCCAGGATGGTGCCGTCTGGCGGCACAGCCACAGGGTGGTGGATGTAGGCGGTGGAGCCGTCCTCCAGCTGGATGGCCTCCAGTGCACTGGGGTCATGACCCTCTGTAGGAACATGTGGTCAGAGCTAATGCCGCACAGCGGGGAGACACAGCAGGAGCCTGGCTTGAACTTGCGGAGGGGTAGATACATACAGGGATAGTCTCCACATCGAGTTCCTCCAACCTCTGCCTTGGTGGTTCCCTCCTACCAGACCTGCCTCTGGGGCTGCTTCCCTTAAGGACACTGACTGGGAACTCACTGGCTCCTTGAGGCCTGGACAACCTATCCTGGCCCAGATTCCAGGCCAGTCACCCCTCCCCGCATTGGCTCCTGCCAGGTGACATGGCATTCACGTGATCTCTGCAGGGCAGAGGTAGTCATGTCACCTACCTGCCTCAAAAGCTCCGACACTTCCCACGGGTCTTAGGGTAAACACCAGCATCCTCTGCCCTTGCCCCCTGCCCTCCAGTTCCCGGCAGCTCCAGGAGTTGCCCTTCTTTCTTCCCAGCTCCGTATCTAGGAATACTGTTCCCGTCTGAAGCACCAGGGCCTCCTTACCACCCTCTTCCTGTAGCTCAGTCCATTCACCCTGCTGCTTTTAGCTCCAGCACTATTTCCCCAGAGTGACCTCCCCCTCCCAATCTGAGCCTGACCCCCATTTGTAATGTTCAGTTCAGCAGGGATGCTTCTTTCCCCACTAGATTGCGGGTGATTAGGGCTGTCTTTGCTTTTTTTGGGGGGTACCTTGGGTACTCTACCACTGAGCTATCTCCCCAGCCCCTTTTATATTTTGAGACAGGACCTTGCTAAATTGCCCAGGCTGGCTGAACTTGTAATCCCCCTGCCTCAGCCTCCACAGTAGCTGGGATTACAGGCGTGTGCCACCACCCAGCTTAATTTAGTTTTCCGTTGTATTGTCTATGCCTCCCCCACTGCCTGAGCTGCAGTAGCTGCTCAAGAAGCTACTTGTACAAGCACTACCCTGTTATTCTTCAGTACCATAAGAGATTAATTTATTTTCTTGCAGTCCTGAGGATGGAATCCAGGGTCTCATGCTAGCTAAGCAAGGCTCTGCCACTGAGCTATACCCTGAACTCCAGAAGTTGCTTTCCTATGTAGCCCAGGTTGGCCTTGAACTCACAGCGACCCTCTTGCCTCAGTCTCCTGAGGTGTTGGATCACAGGTGTGCGACACCACACCTGGTGGTAGTCTGGAATATTAGTAAGTTTCTTCTGGCCTTGAATAGTGGCCTCGGGTCCTATTTGATGCCCTAAGACTCTGGGGCTGTGTTGAAACCAAAGCCACCACAGAGGACGACGTACTGACCCCAAGGCTCAGCCTCTGGGTGGCACAGACAGCTGCTCCTGCGGCCTGCACCAGGGAAGGCTGCTTGTCAGGTAAGGAAGTACTGCATGTGCCTCAGGGATGACACCGCACAGGTCTACTGCCCTCCCACGTGTGCCTCTCTATCCCCAGGCCTGCTGCCTCTGTGCCCTCTCCTTCCCCACCAATGCCGATGACCGGAGCCCCACCTTTGGGTGTGCGGTGTATGTAGGCCACACTGCCATCTTCCAGCTGCACTGCCTGTCCATCCTCAAAGGAGAGAGATTCTGTAATGAGAGCAATGTCAGGCTTTCTCTGGAGCTCAGCGCCCGGGGTGCTCCCTCAGTGAGGCATGCTGGGCCTTCCTCCACAGGTGGGGTGTTGTGGCGGCCTCACCTTTCTGTACTGTCACTTGGTGAATGTATGCAGTGGTCCCGTCCTCGAGCTGGATCACTTGCCCTTCGAGCAGCTTCTCTCCTGTGGAGGTGGAGATGGACAGGAATGGGCCAGGCCCAGACGGGGACTGAGAGGCTGGCCTGTTCTTAGCAGAGGTCTGTGTGAACCTCTGGGGGCTCGCCTGTGGTCTGAGCACAGGTGACACTCTCCGTCTCCCTCCCTTGCCTCCCCTAGGCCTGGGCCAGGCCGGGGGTGAAGACATCCCTGCCATGCAGGGGTTTTACTTCTCCAGTAGATCCCCTTCTTGCCGTTAGACGGAGGGGCAGCTTCCTTTATTATTCTAGCCATGCCCAGCAAAGTGAGTTGCTGAGACTGAACTAAACGAAGAAGAGAGAATGCCTTGAAACCTGGAAAGGCCACAAAATCAAAATATATTCCATCATCTCTCACCAGGGCAGTGTGCCAGGACCCACCGCCTGCAGTGTAGCAGCACCCTGGTAAAAAGCAATGGGCCTTGGAACCAGGCCGAGCCTTCTGAGTTTAAATTCCAGGCCTACCTCTTCCTCGCTGTGTGACTGGGATGTGATCGGCCCTCAGTACACTAGCTTTTACTGTGATAAGCCTAGTGTGCACTTCGAAGGAAATGGAAAGTGAGGCAATAGGAGGCTATGTGAGTACAACTATGCTGTGTCTACCTGTGTCTCACCCCACCGTCACTGCTGACTTGTGTGTCCTTAACTGATCTGGGATCGTATCTTTTCCTTCCTTCCTTTCGTCTTTCCTTCCTGTCTTCCCTCCTCCCTTCCTCTCCCTCCTTCTCTCTCCCTCTCTCTTCTTTCTTTCGACATGATCTCCCTATGTAGCCCCAGCTGACCTCAAACTCATGGGGATCCTCCTGCCTCAGTCTTCCGAGTGCTGGGATTATAGGCGTGCACCACTATGCCTGGCAATCTGGGATATTTTCATTTCAAGCTTCTAATACAAAATTGAGCCACACAGAGCAAAACAACAAGCAATATAAAAGTTAAGACTCCAGATTTCCCCAGATATTACCCTTCCTTTATTTTACTAGAGTGTACTTCCAAAAGGGCCTCAGAATTAGAGATGCCCTTTCTCCCACCCGTGCCCAGTGACTTTGAGAGCTGGGGAAGGAAGAAAGAAGGTGAGAAGGGAGACCGGAGAGTTCTTGACGTGTGATTTGCTTGTCTCTTTCTTAACAAGTTTCAGGTTTAGGAACTTGAGCTTTAGGGGAAGGAAAAGGACATGCTGACTGCTTCTGGCCCAGTTCTCTGCTGACAGCACCCCTTCAGGGGAATCCCCAAACTTGTCCCCAGACCGAGTCTTCTGGGTGTCAGTAACACTCCTACAACCAACCCGGCTAAAGGCAGGTGCAGTGGGGTACAGGTAAGAAGCAGCTGCGGGGGAGCACTCGCCTCTGTCCCCTCAGGAGGCCATGTGCATTTCCACTCTGTGTCCAGGCAAGGGTGTTGGTGCCCAGGCTTCTGAGAGCATCAGCAGAGCCACTCCCAGAAGAGTGGGGATGGCTTCAAGGCAGGAAGCAAGATCCTGCGAAGGGGTACTGGAGGAAGGATTTTAACATACAACTTCCTCCACCAACCAGGCAAGTCAGGACAGCTGCTGCCCAGAAAGGCCTTGCATCTCTTTGCAGTGGGGTGACCTTTATGTCCCACTGGTCCAGAGCAGTCCCAGTGCATTTATTAACAGCATACTCTTCCACTCTCAAAAGTTTTGGGTTTGAATGACCACCCTAACTACAGGTAAGTCTTAAGGCTGTCTTGCTAGGGAAGCAGGGCGCAGATAGCATCAAAAGCGTCTCAGTCAAAAGCTTCAGCACTCTGAGTGGCTGGGGCAGAAGGATCACAAGTTCGAGCCCAGCCTGGGCAACGTGGTGACTTAGGCAGATCGTGTCTCAAAAAATTAAAAAAGGGCTGAAAATATAGCTGTGTGAAGACCCCAGGTTCAAGCCCTAGTACCACAAAACAAAACAAAAAAAGCTTTAAAGGAGTTTCCCAGACAGCGGGAAATGTGTGTGTGCACGTATGTGTGTGCGCACGCATGTGTATGCAAACACCCTGCAACACTACACAGGAGGCACAACAGCGCCTGGTGGAGGGATGCGAGAAAGAGACACAGGAGGTGGGGGAAGCAGAGAGACTCAAACATAAGAAAGGAAGATAGAAGAGTTTCTTAGGTCAGATGTGCCACTTGCTTTTTACTCATTCATTTCAACCATTAATTCTCAGTGGGAGACAGAGTTCAGGAATTAACTGGGTCCAAGGAACACACACAGCCACACCTAGAGACCCAAATTCTTCCATCCCACTGAGACCGTACCACAGGGAGAAGGCCCGTGACACAAAGTCAGAGGGTTTCAGGCTTCCAGAGTCTTGTAGAGAGTCCATTCTCAAGAGAATAAGCCAGCAAGAGCACACACGTCACAGACAGCTCTTGACAAGAAGCTATCCCCCCAATGTCATACGCAAAGAGCTTACTGGTGACGTTAAGGGCATCTTTAGCTGCCACCAGGAGACAGACAATTTAAGTAAAATCAATAAACAACTTATCTGTAAGCCTAGGAATGGAAATTTACTCTGGCACTGTGTTGAAATGAAGGGAGGGGCAAGAGAAAATGACAGTGACAATGTGGTTGCAAGAACAGTGAGTTCACGGAATCCAGAAAAGGTCAAGCACAGAACAAGAATAACAGTCTCTACCCAGTGCTAACCAAGAAGACACAAATACCACCTGGCGGACCTGAGAATGCTGGCAAGGAGCGGGAGGGCCCCTGCCTGCAGGCCCCGCCCTAAACAGAGTCCTCTCCTCGGCTCAGTTACCTTGATGGAAAGCTAGCTGACAGTGGGCTCAGGGTTGTCGCATAAAATACATGATTCCCAGGTGAGTCTGAATTTCAGACAAGTTATTCTGAGTATAGGCTGATATCCCTAATATGCAAATCCAAAATCTGAAACTCTCCCAAATTTGAATGGATTTCAAGTTAAGAATATTCAGTGACTAGTGTCTATACAAATACTCTCAAATCTAAAATTCCCCAAAATTTGAAATGTCTGGTCCCAAGCACTTTGGATAGGGGATACCCAACCCATACTTAGTTCTATTATTTTAGTGTTTTTTAGTATATCATCATATAGATATACCTCTATCTACCTACCTACCTCTCTCCCTCTCCCTCTCTCTCTCTATATGTATACACATATATATCCAGTCCAAAATTTGACCTACATGTGTACTGCAGAAGTATGTGCTGTTTATCTGTGATATGAGTTTAACTGTGTGTTAAATTTTTATTTCTGGCACTCACTAGCATCAGAAACTATGATAGCACACACCCTGAAAACAGAAGAGCATCTGGCACGTGGTAGGTGCTCAGGAAATAGTTCAGGTGCTTGAACTCGCTTGAATTAAAATGATGAATGAGCTGGGCATAGTGGTGCACAGTTATCATCCTAGCACTCAGGAGTCTGAGGCAGAAGGATTGACTCAAGTTCAAGGCCAGCCTGGGCTATACAGTGAGTTCAAGGCCAGCCTAGACTACATGGAGCAACCCTGTCTCCAAAAACAAATAAACAAAACCCAAAAAGATGAATTGCCTCTAGAAAGCTCCGAAGAAACTGAACAGGAAATACCTGAAAAGCAGGAAATCATAACCACTGCTTTGTCCATTTCAGAAATATTTATAAACTACTACTACATAGAAGAATTTCTGCTTTTTTGTTGTTGTTGTTTTTTTCTTGGTCTTTTTTGAGACAGGGTCTTGCTATGCAGTTCAGGCTGGCCTTGAGCTCACTTTGTAGCCCAGGCTGGTCTCGAACTTGCAACAATCCTCCTGCCTCAGCCTCCCGAGTGCTGGGATTACAGGCGTGCGCCACCATGCCCGGCAAGAATTTCTGCTTTTGAGAGGTGTTGGCTGTTGCAGCTGGGGTAGTCTGGTTAGCTAGCTTGCCTAGGTAGATGATAATTTAAAGAGTTCCTCTTCATCAAGCACCAAGTAAGAGCTTCATGTAGAGCCAGTTGTGGTGGTGGGCAGAGGTGAGCGGGTGGGAGGGCAGGGTGGTGAGACTCTTAAAGAGGGCTTCTCCTTTCCAGAGGCTGAGGGAGAGGATTCTGAGGTCCCTAGAAATACTCACCTTTGACAGCTTGCTGGATGTAGGCTGTCGTCCCGTCGCTGAGGGTCACTGTCTGCAGCCCCAAGCTCTCCATGGCAAACGGCTGCTCCTGCGCTCAGACATGAAGTTGGCTTCTGGCCAGCACCGAGAGCCACAGCCGAGGTCAGAGATTTCCTTGTGGGTCACAAATCTGAGAAAATGGCCAGTGTCACATAAAGACTTGCATAGCTTCCTCCTGGTGCAAGGAGTTAATGAAGGTAGCCAGGACAGAGAGACAAATACAGTGGCACCTCTGTTTACGAACTTAATTCTTTCCATGATTCTGGTTACAAACTGAATTGGTCGTGAAGCAAATCAAATTTCCCCCTAAGATCCACACTGATGCTAATCACTAAATTTATCCCCACCCAGAGATGGTTCCTCCTCCCATCCAGATGCAGTGGGATCCTCCTTGAATCTTTCTTTTCCTTCGAAATTCCAGCTACCTATTTTAGGCAAGTATCATCTCTCACATCACAACAGCCAGAGCCTCTATGTCCTTGGATAAACTCTTGCCTATTTCCAATACATTTTCTACAAGGTATCAGGGTTATCTTTTTAAAAAAAAAAAAAAAGGTACACAGCTGGGAGTGTACCTCGGTGGTAGAGCGTTTACCTAGTATGCAGGAGTCCTCAGGTTCCACCCCCAGCACCACAAAAAAAAAAAAAAAAAGTATAAACATACCCTACTTCCCTAATTAAAATCCTTCAATCGGTTCCTATCACCTTTTAAGTCCACCTTGCAGATAAGGCTGGGTCCTGTTACAAATTCTAATTTTGGACAGTACCTCTTTCCAGCACTCACCTGCTCTGGTACTTATCACTAGCTGTTTAAGGTCTGCTGCCTACTTAGGACTTTGGGCTTCAGTCCTCTTTCGGGCGCACAGCTGTTTCTCCAGCACCTCCAGCCCTGGGCTGTCCACGTACCCTCATGTATCTGCCATGGGATGGACCTAACCCTAGCTGTAACTCCCACACTCATGAAGCCTGCAGGAAGCCCACAGCCTCTGGTCTTGGTTCAGTTGTTAAGACTCTTTTTGCCACCCATCCATAGAATTCTCCTGGTCTGGAAACTGGGGCTGCCTACTTGAGCCTTGTGACCTACCAGCTGATAGTCCGTTTTCACGTCAGGGCATGCAGAGAGAAGAGTATCTGTGTTATGTGGCAGTTGCTGCTGCTTGAAGCCAGAAGCAACCAGCTGGGGCCTTGGCAGCCTCAAGAGTTGAGCAGATCGATACTTTGGCATAACTACAGCCCATTTGTGACACCCTGGTTGGGACGTTCTATCCCAGACTTGGCATCTCAACTGGAATTATTCTTTCATTCTGTCCATGAATACTGAATGAGCTAAGCTCCAAGGAGTCATATTATTACTGCCGATAATGAACACTATTGAAGCACTAACCATGTATAAGCAACAACTTTATTCTTCAATGTCATTACGGTATTTCTCCTACTTTACAGTTAAGCTCTTCTAAGCTCAGGTAAGTTGCTCAAGGCTGCAAAGCCAGTGAGTGTGGGGGTTGGCTTTGTACCCAGGCCATCCGACCTAGAGTGTGCTCTCAAATTCTCCACTATGCTGCCAAGTACAGAGGTTTTTTGAAGCTGGAAGTCCCAAAAGCACCTAAAAATACCTTTCTGGTATGTGAGTCTCTGAATTTTTCAGACAACAGGGAGTCCAAGGCTGTCATCAGAATCTTACAGGATAAAAGGTAAACAGCTACTGGTCAAGGTGGGAATTCTGAAACTTAACCCAACTTCTTTGGTCCTTTAGGATTTTGAAAGTGGCCTTCACCTTGCTAAGAGCCCTGATAATCCTCAGTGGTTCTTATTTCACAAAAGCTCTGGCCCTGACTTCTTAGAGTCTACTCTATGGCCCTCACATGTCTGTCTGTCTTTCTTTTCTTTTTTTTTTTTTTTTTATACTGGGAATCAAACTCATGACCTCAGGCTTGCCAGGCAATCACTTATGCCACTGAGCTAAATCCCTGGTCCGGCCCTCACATTTCATTCTCTTTAAACTCAGGGACAGAGATTCTTTTGTAAACTGTCTCAGTGCAACCACATTGTGTCAGAAATAAGGACATGTAGGAGACACTTTAGTCTACACACAAAGCAGGCTGTAGGCTCAAAGGCACTGTATACTTGGGAGACTAAGGCAGAAAGATCACGAGTTTTTGAGGCCAGCCTGGGCAACTTAGTGAGACCCTGTGTTATTTAAAAATAAAGAGGCCTAGGGTATAGCTCAGTGGTAGAGTGCTTGTCCAGCATGAGTGGGGCCCTTGGTTCAAATCCCAGTACTGAAAACAACAACAACAACAACAAAAAAAGGGATTGCAACATGGCCTCAAGCCCTTACAACTGGGCCCTGCGGCTCCTGCAGCAGGGGTACTTTTAACCTGTGTGCTCTCACGTCAGACAGCCTTCTTCCGATCCAGGCTTTATCTCTTAGGAGCTGTGCAGTTTTGGGCAAGCATAAGAGCAGCTCTGAGCCTCTGACGGTAGAGATAGGTGTACGAGTGGCACCTGCTTCCCAGGTTGCTGTAAGGATTAGATCAAGTCCCACTGGTGCTGCCATACAGGAAGTACTCTGGAAATACTGGCTCTGAAGAGAAGGAAATGGTAGAGCACCCTAAAGGGAAATGCTTTGGAAGTCTGTGTATTTCTAAACTGCAGCCAGGAATGGTGGCCACAGCCCCAGACTAGGGGTCTGCAGAACTGGCTTCTCATCTTGACTCCACCTCTTATGTCTGCTCCCTTATCTGTAAAGTGAAGCACTGGCTCAATGGCCCTATGAGCCTTTCCATGGCTCATGCTAACGTCTATCACATACGCACTCCCTGGTGTGTGCCAGCCCCTGCTCAACTCTTTTAATCTTAAAAATAACTGCATGAGGAGGCAGATATACTATCCCCTTTCACAGATGAGGCCAGGTCCCAAAGCTACCAAGTGCTGAAGCCAGGATTCAAAGGCAGGCCGTCCGCTCCAGTGTCTGGACATCTCAGAATCTGGCTCGCTTCTTCCTTCTGCTAATCCATTGTGACTGACACACTGTCAGCACTCAAAAACACTTGAACACAGGTTGTTTAGCTTCTACCCCACCCACTAGAACTTAAACCCAGTCTTTCTTGGTCTGCCCACAATGGAAGGAGGGAAGAGCCAGTAGCCGCATTTCCCAAAATAACCCCTCGTAGGTTCAAAGAAAACAAATCTCCACTTCTTAGCATGATCTAAATAGCCCGACTCACTTTTCCTTCTTAAGCTTCATAATATAGGACTTTAAAACAGTGCCCAGTTGCTCTCTAGTTTTCCTGATCTCGAAGGCTGCCTGACCACAAGGGTAAGGGCGTTTTACGGCGGCCAAGCACATGCCAGGGTCCTGAATGCCATCTCTTTCCCTTTACCTTCTTTAAGTGAGAGTTTACTGGCAACTATCAGCAGTGACAAGGGCAGAGCCAGATAGGCCTCAGCGCGTGCATCCAAGCAGCTCCTGTCTGCCTCAGTCTTTTCAGATTCATAAATTCTGGGCTCCTGAGAAGGTGGCCAGAGGACAGCTCTTCTGTCTCCTCCTTAGCAGGGATACGGTTTACCAGTTCCACAATGACCTGAGCTGGGTATGGGGGAGGGCCAGGCTAGGGAAGGGCGAAAAGCGGTAAGAGCGATGACAAAAGGCTGGGCCAAAAAGGACCCCATTCTGACTTTCCCAGAATAAGCCTTGCGCCCAGTTGTTTGTTGTATTTTTTTTAAAAAATGACCTTAACCAATTGTTGGCTGTACTGCAGCAAACAACCCCATGGCTTTAAAATATACCAATGTATATTTTAATGTACATTTTACCAATGTGCTTCCTACTATAAAATCATGACTTGTAATTATTGGGGACAGGTAACAGGAAAAAACTTTCTGATGCTTTGAATCTGTCCACAAAACAAGATGCATTTAAACTATTTCCTCAATGCAGAAAAATAAGGGATGTGAAAGACAGGAAACGAAAGCACAGCCACGGTATTTGTGTTTTCAGCTTTGTCACACAGCTGAGGTCTAACCTGGTGCACACCCAAGTGCGGCTGTGGTGACCACAGACACCTGTTCACTATTCCTCGCCCTCTGCCAGCACTCCCTGGACCCAGAACAAGGCTTTCTGTACTCTGCCTCAGCAGCCTCGAGGACAACTGCGTTTAAAGCCAACAAACACACAAAGAAACAAACAAACAAACACACACATTTGCTTGGAAAGAGAAGAACGGTCAGCTTTGACTAGAAAAAGAAATTGTGAGAATTTTTACTCAGAAAATTCCTTATTTGCAAACATGCAAGACTTCTCATAGATGGCAAAGAAGCACTACACTGGGAGGATGCAGGCTGACGGGGACAAGCAGGGAACAAATCAGAACCAGATCCGGGAGAGCTGCAGTAAAATGATTCGGTATTTGTTATTATAGAAAAAGACTTCAACGCACACACACACACAAAACCCCCGAGCGAAGTAAGCTTCGTTCTGTGGGTTTCTAAACGCTGAAGAGAAAACAGGAAATTAAAAACAGAAACTTGCATTAGCAGAACACAAATGTAAAACATCAGCTAAACATCCCTTTGCAGAAAGCACACTGATTTTAAAAGCCCAAATCATACTCCTAGTATGGTTCCCATTTGGCTACTGCAACTTTATAGATGTGAATTAGTCACAGAAAAGGGAGTAATTAGGCAAAGTGGATTATTCCCAACTCCAAAAGCGCAATGAAAATACAGACCCCCATTATTACAGAATGGAATTCATTTAAACTAAAACAAATAGCTTCAAAATCTAATTTTCAGCCATATATTCAAGTGAATTTTAACACCTCAGTTTGTAAACATCCAACATGGAAATCATGCCTGGGTTTCCAACCCACCTTCAGTGAATGGAAAGTCCAGAATCGAGGCATTTTGGAAGGATCATCCTAGGGGTAAGCTTTGCACCAAGAAGCAAGTTAGCACAGACAGGATGAAGGTCAATCTGAATTGTTTCTGCAGTTCAGCTTGGGGTCACCACGGGCTTGGGGAGAGCTGTCTGAAAATGAAACATCCCATCAGCCTGAGAAGGGACAGGGTTGTCATAGCTATATGTTAATTTAAAAGCACTGCCTGAGATAAAAAGGTTCAATTTTTATTTCATCAGTTCATCAAAATGGAACAATAACTGGATCTTAATTAGGAAGAGAAATTTTGGAGTTTTGGAGCAAAAGAAAAGTGAAGAGCATGTTAAAAAAAAAATCAAGTGAAGAGCAGGTTAAAAAAAAAAAAACAGGAAAAGCTGGGTGTGGTGGCACACACCTGTAATCCCAGCACTTGGGAGGCTAAAGCAGGAGGATCCTTGCGAGTTTGAGACCAGCCTGGGCTACAAAGTGAGCTCAAGGCCTGCCTGAACTGCATAGCGAGACCCTGTCTCAAAAAGACAAATAAATAAATAAATAAATTTTTAAAAAACCAGGAAAGCAATAAAATATATCAGAAACACAGACACATATAAAGTTCCAAAAACAACATCAAATTCCTACCGGACAAATGGTATAATATGATTTCACATAAGTAAAACACACACACAAACCCTCCCCCACAATAAATAAATAATTTTTTAAAATGTTTGACTCTCAGTAATTAAAGAACAGGAAAGAATAATCATGACATTACTTATCAAGTTACCAAAAATCAAAATACAAGTACAAAATTCAAGAGTTTGTTAAGGTTGACAAAGAGATATGTACAGGATGTAATGATCCAATTAAAATATGGGGAAGGGAGGCTGAGGCAAGAGGATTGCCATGAGTTCAAGACTACCTTGATCTATATATATATATATATATATATTTTTTCAGCTCTCATGTTGCAGTTCCTTGATTCTTTTTTTTTTTGATCTATATATATGTTGAGTTCAAAGCCAGCCTGAGCTACGTATTGAGACCCTGTCTCAGAAAAAGATCTAAAGAGACAGTTTACCAAAGAAGATATAGAGATGGCAAATAAGCACAAAAAATGACACAACATTGTGTCATAAGAAAGCTGCAAATTAAAATGTCAACGAAATACTACTATACAACTATTAGAATGGGGAAAATCCAGAACACTGACATCAAAGCATGACAAGGATGTTGAGTGACAGGAAGTCTTAGTCACTGCTGGTGGGAATGCAAAAATAGGACAGGCACTTTGGAAGACAGTTTCTTACAAAGCCAACCATACTCATTATACGAACTGTGACTGAAAGCCACAGAGAATGTTTAAATTTAAAAAGATTTATTATTACAGTAAAAGACACACTGCCATCAATTACCCTCAAAATACTCCCCCCCTCTTTGAATACATGTATCCTATTGTTCTTGCCACTTTGGTCAGCAGTTCTGGAAGTCCTTCTTAGTTGTATTGTTTTAGCTGCCTTGATGTCCTGAACTGATTCAAAACATTTACCTTTCATGGTCATTTTGACTTTGGGGAAGAGCCGGAAGTCATTCAGCACCAGATCCAGGGGATAAGGTGGATGAGGACACACTGTGATGTTTTTATCAGCCTGTGTTTCTGTGGGAAGGCAATCAGCAGCAGCATTCAACGTATTTTTGGTCATAGCTCAGGCAGACACAAAAGGACTTCCAGCACTGCTTCAGAAAGCGCTAAGAGAGGGGCTGGGGATTAAGCTCAGTGGCACAGCGCCTGCCTGGCAAGCGCGAGGTTGTGAGTTTGATTCCCGGTACCGGAAAAAAACCAAAAAAAAAAGAAAGTGCTAAGAGAGATGGGTGTGTTTGAAGTGAGGGGGAGTACTTTGGAGCGGATTAATGGCAATGTGTCTTTTACTGTAGTAATTTTTAAAAATTTAATCATTCAGCATATATTTTGATCACCCCTTGTATGACCCAGCAATCACGCTCTCTGGGCATTTACCCAAATAAGCTGCAAACTTATGTCCATGGAAAAAAATCTGCATATAAACATTTATAGCAGCCTTATTCCTAGTTGCCAACAACTGGGTAACAACCAAGCTGTCCTTCAATACACAAACTGATACATCCCTCTGGCAGTGTATTATTCAGCAGTAACAATGAATGAGCCAAAGGACACGGAGGGACCTTACAGGCACACTGCTAAGTTAAGGAATTCAGTCTGACAAGGCCATGCACACGTGATTCCAATGCTCTCTCGTTCTGGAGAAGGCAAAACTACAGAGACAATGAAAAGAACTGTGGTTACCGCAAGTCCTGGGTAAAGGAGGGAAGGACGCATGGGCAGAGCACAGGGGATTTTTAGGGCAGCAAAGCTCGGCTGTTTGATCCTGTAAGGGTGACAAGACATCATGCTTTTGGCAAAGCCCACTGAATACACAACCCAGAGCAAGCCTTTGTGAAGACTCTTTACCAATACTGTACTGGGACTGACTCACCGACTGTGGCAGCTATCCCATGCCAATGCAAGATGTTCACAATAAAACAAGCAGGGGACACAAATGGAAGCATATGGTACTTTCTGCTTAATGTTTCTATAAACTTAAAATCGCTTAAGAAAGTCTATTAATTTAAAAAATCCAAATCCATCTATTGAAGTTGGCCAGGTGGTGAGACAGGCACAAATGCGCCTGGCTGATGTCACTGAAGTTGCTCCAAGCTCTCAAGAGAACAACGTGTCTATGCTTAACCCCACAGGGAAAGGCTCAGGACTGAATATCTAATAACTTCGTCTTCGTAACTCATTCACAAAAAGAATGCACAAAAACCAAGAGCCACTTGGATAATGATTCTTGTTTAAATGTTTTAGACAAGAATCATGAAGACCATCTGGATTAATGAAGTGGGATTAACAAATGAACTGTAAGTGAAAAAAAAAAGACATGAGGTTAGACATTCATCTAGTTCCAACTGCAAAAAACCCAACTTCATCTAAGACAAGGCTAGAAGGGGACAAAAACAAATGAATGGCTAGAACAGTAGAAGTCCTTAAAAATAAAATGGTCAAATGGCCAGGGATGCAGCTCAGTGGTAGAGTGCTTGATTAAACATGCACAAGGCCCTGGGTACAATCTATAGCACTGAAAAAAAATCAGTTAAAAAATGGCTGAGTGAGCCAGGTGTAGTGGCGCACGCCTGTAATCCCAGCACTCGGGAGGCTGAGACAGGAGGATGGTTGTGAGTTCAAGGCCAGTCTGGGCTACAAAGTGAGCTCAAGATCAGCCTGAACTGCATAGTGAGACCCTGTCTCAAAAAGACAAAAAAAAAAAAAAAAAAAAAAAAAAAAAAAAAAAAAAAAAAGGTTGAGTGAGACCATGTAGGAGCCCCTGGACTCAGTCTCCTATAAGAACAAAACAAGGTTGAAATAAAAAGATGCCAGCAATGAGCTAAGTGGTAGCTTTATCCTAAACCTACTTCGTTGCTTGAAAAGCCAGCCCTCCCATCCTTGAGGTTTTTCCTTTACTCTCCCCACAGCCTTCCTATTATTTCCTATACATCATTTCTCCCAGGCCCTACAAAGAAAGACATCCATTCCAATAGGGCATGGTGGCGCACACCCAGAATCCCAGGTACTTAGGTGGTTGAGGCAGAATTGCAGGTTCAAGGTCAGCCTGGGCAGTTTAGTGAAACTGTCAAAAAATGGAAAAGGAAGCCAGGTGTGGCTGGTGTATGCCTGTAATCCCAGCACTCAGGAGGCTGAGGCAGGAGGATTGTTGTGAATTCAAGGCAAGCCTGGGCTACATAATAAGTTCAAGACTAGCCTGCACTACATAGAGACATCTTGCCTCAAAAAAAAAAAAAAGAAAACAAAACAAAAAGAGAGGGCAGGGCTGCAGCTTAGTGGTAGACTACCCCTGGGGTTGATGCCCAGTAACAGTCACAGTCTTACCCACACAGAAGCAGCATAAATATCTATTAGTATGAACTTCCACATTACAGAGACACAAATGAAGACAATTCTATTAACCTAGGTGATCTCTAAAATAAAGGAAGTAAAAATGACAAAGTATATAATAGTGCCTTTTGTATGCTACCAATAGCACTAAAATGTCCATGGGAGGATAGTCAAGGAATTACTAACCAGGGCTAACTGCCAGGGGTATAACCAGGCAAACATGACTTTCAATGGATTTCTTTTATACTTCAGTCAAGCTCTAAGAATGTTTTATCTGTGCAAAATAAAAGACTCAAAAAATCTAAAAGCATGCTTTTCCCTGTCTTTGTTGGCTCCGAGAGTATCTACAATTCCCCAATCATGAAGCATAGTTGAGTGATGGAATACAAGGAATCCACAATATTACAGGTTTGCAACAAAACCACTTTGGCTCACAATTCATGAGTGCCATCAAGGAATTCCACATGGAAAGCTGGTCAAGTGGATCATAAGGGAGCGGTGAGCCTATAAGGACTTGACAACACACTGGCTCTAACAGGTATGTGTCCTTGGCTGGTCATGACAGTAGTTCTGGCTGATGTAGGATCTAAACAAGGACCACCCTCCTCCTTCCCTGCTGTGCCACTCCAGTGTGGTACTTCTTAGGTTTAGAGGATGGTATCAGACAGAAAAAACTCTGGTCTCAGGTACCTGACCACATCCCTGCACCCACAACTCAGGTGAGTCCTTCAATCTCAAGGAGCCCCTGATTACTTTGTTATCTTAATTATTTGCATCTCATGCTGTATCAACTATCCCAAAGCTGAAGGGCAGTCCAACACATGGAGATGCACAATTCACTGGATGGCAAGCTGTGGGGAGTGTTAAACTCCAGGCACCAGAGGAGGCACTCTGACTCACAGCAGGCTACAGTCTAGCAGGTTACAAGGCTTTGAGTAACCCATCCAATGAAGCAGATCTTTGTGATTCTGCACTGTAAGTCCTGTACTGCTACCAGCAACACAGATGACTGTATGGGATTTTTTTCCCCATTTCCCTAAGAGGCTTATTTGTAGCTTTAGGAATAGGCACTTGAAGTAGGCTAAAGCTTTACCTTAAGATCTGTATGTCAGTTGTTTTTCTTCCCATTCACCAGGATAAATTTTTCCCATTTCACTAAGTGATAGACGCTGATCATATGACTCT